GAACAACCATAATGCCATTTCTATTCATTTAAATGATTATGTTTGACACTAAAATTTGGCATGGCATTCACTCACAGTTATCTCTTTATCATCTACAATGTGACAATCTGCTCAGGAATAAAGTTGTTTTGACTTTTCGAGAAAGAGCGATCGTCACTGAAGTGAATAAGCTGATTGAGTTGAAGGCAAATTAAATGGGGTCTGGGTTATTATAGAGATTGAGTCATCAGTCTTCTTGTGTCTTTTCTGTGCCCCAGGCGTCCTGCAAATCAATCCACGGCAGAAGTGGTCAGTGGTCAGTATTGCTTTCAGCGAGAATGGAGATTGGTAAATAAGGCCAAACATAATCTGTAATGGATTGGCGCTGGAAACAAACTCGAGGTCATGGCGAGGATGATGGGGGTATTCATTCATTCAGCGGCTGTTTTGTGAATTACTGCACCCCATCAGGCCTCTGATGCTCTACAGAAAATAGGTTGGTAACCCTGACAATCTGCCTGTAAATGAGGATGCACCAAGGATTATGGACTAAGGAAACTGGTTTTATGAACACAGTTGTCCTTTAGCTTTACTTGGCTGAAGTTCCAGTGACTCTCTTTATACTATTACTACTATTATACATCTGATAATGCCTAGCTAACAGTAAACACATTTTAAAATCCTGTCTTTAGAGATTTCCAAAATGTGAGAGACTCCACACATGATGACAAATACTCATCAATTAAACAGTTGTGTGTGTGGAGAGCAAAGATGTGACCATAAAGACACTCAACACTAACAGATTGTATTCATTTGTTACTGTCCAAAATTGCAAACATTGCAAAATGTCTCCGTCTTAAATGTGACTTTAGAGCAAATAAACTTGGTGGACGATGTGCAAAGACAGTTTAAGAAAAAAGGTTTAACTAAGGTCAGAGAGCTGGAGACAGTGTGCAGGTGGACTGTACATGTTACAGTGAGAGCTGTTGTTGTTGTTGTCATTCCTTCTTCAGTCAGCTTTCTTCCTAATTGGCTGTCTTTTGTTCCATGTGACAATCCACAGAGTGAGTGCTCTGCTGCCATCTGCCTCACCTCACACAATAGGACTTCAGATCGTAAATGGGGCCACCCCATCGTCCTCCCAATCAGATTGCATTATCTAATTAACTTTTTTCAGTATTCTAATATTCACTATTTCATTTCTTAGTCCTTGCGCTCTTTTGTGACATGTATTGTTCATATGCATTCTTTGTTGCCCACATTGATGGCACGCCAATTCAAACCAGTATGAGGACTCTGAAGCAGCTTATTGGTTTCAACTCAATCAAAAAGCTACCAAAAATAATGTCAAAAACAAAAGGGCCCTGAAACTTCAAGTTGTCTTTAAATTGGTAGTTTAATTACATATGGTTAGTTATGTTAGCTAATACAAGTGCAGCTGTTGAGGTTGCTAGGTTTACAGGCAGGGACAGGAAGTAAAAGGGTAAAGGCGGGGACAGCTGGTGACGCAAACAGGAAATTCTCTGTAGACCAGAATGTCTCTTTTAGTGGTCAACATGGGCTACAATGACTGGATCCTTTGAAGTATGCTGCCCATGAATTGGGAAACGGCCAGTATAATCAGTTAATGAATGGCTCTAATTTCTCATTAAGCCAGACGCAGGAACAGAAGATAATATATTAAGCACTGGCCCCGCGGCCACACAGCCCCTGATTGTGTTGGCAAAAGTTTGTTTTCTAGAATGTTAATATTTGAGTTGCGATGATAGGCCACTGCTATTGTCTTCACTTACAACTCTACAAAGACAGTAACAGTTACATACATTAATTATAATCAAACAGAATTGTTTTATTTATTTCTAAAGAAAACTCTAAATTGAGTTTAAAGTTCACATCCCCTCCTCCAGTGCCTCACACGTGCTCTCTCTCTCTTCCACTCTTTTCCTCCCTCCCAATTCTGATGTGCCTGAGTCACTCATATCCACAATACAAGCCAGCTAACATAACATTACAGTCAGAAAAAAAACATGTTAGTATTCTTTAAAATGTGGATATTTAATTACTCAGCCCAATTAAATGTAACAAAGTCATGGCGGCAGGTCACCGTGTAAGGGTCAGGGTCAGCTGTAGCTGGAAGGAGCGAATCAATCGCACAGCAAAGAATATTAGATTTTCATTACTTCTCAGAGCACCGAAGCGACCCAAACAGCAACAGTACAAGTGTACACATGAACAGCTGTGTGTGCACATCAGAGCCAGTGGAAGCCGTTGCGGAGCGAAGACAGGCCGAACACGAATCTGGTGGAATTTAGGGGTGAGGCACTGCTGCACAGGGAGTCTGTCAGAGCTGTTGGCGGTTCAGTGCCTTGCTCAAAGGCAACTCGGCAGTGCCGTGGAAGTGACCTGGCACCACTCCCGCTACCAGAGCAACACCATATGTTTGGTCCGCGGTTTGAACTGGCAACCCTTCTGTTCCCAACCCAAGTCCCTACAGACGGAGCTACTGTTTGCAATCATGCTAGCTAATCGTGCAGAAGGTGAACTATCAACCTGCCGTAATATTTTTGTGAAGTACAGACCCACATCCTGTGATAAATTTGCCTGAGCCGTGCTGCTCAACTTTGCTGGTCACCTGTTGTCTTTAATCAACGAGTCTCCATGAGGTTTATTTAAGTAACCGTATACCGCTGTTTTCATTAAATGCATGTTAATGACCTTGTGAGGGAGAAACGATGTTAGTACTGGCGTGCTGCCAGACTGATCAGGGTCCATATGTACCCCGGCAACGGCTGCCTGAAATACACAATGAATGGTAGCATGTCTTTAAACAAATCAGGTTGCGTAAGGTGGGTGATGGCAGCATTTTATACTGGTCAAGAGAATAAATCCAACTTTTTAGACTGAAAAATGGTAGTGGAAGTGTTTTTTATACACCGGATTTTACAGTGACAGTGTTTTCATGAGCAAATAATATCCTACTGCATTTTCTTGTTCGGGGTCATGGGGGCCTGGAGCTGCTCCCAGTTGTCACTGGGCGAGGTGCGGGGTACACCCAGGACTGATCGCCATACAATCACAGGGCTGACATATAGAGACAGACAACCAGCTATCTTTACACCTACGGACAATGTAGAGTCACCAATTAACCTAACAAGCATGTCCTTGGGATGTTGGAGGAAGCCGGAGTGCCCGGTGAGAACCCATGCATGCACGGGTAGAACATACAATCTCCACACAGAAAGGTTCATGTCCAACAGGGATTCTAACCAGAAACCTTCTTGCTGTGAGGCGACAGCTCTAACCACTGCACCCCCACGCAGCCCAAGAAACTAATATTTATATCCAAAATCTTATTTCAAGGACAATGAATGTCAAAATGTAGGATGTTAAATTGTGAAGGAAATAGTATCTTTTGGGAAAAAAGTAGGAAAACTTATAAAAGGTTCCCTGCAATTCTAGAGGCTCCATACAGCAGCTGTTAAATGTGCTGAAATGTAAAACACTTCTAAACACGGACACAACTTGTTTGCTTGCTGGTAAATCATGGAAATGAATTTGAATGTCTGATTTGATTTGATTAATGTAGTATAGTGTCTGATTATTTAAATGCTGCTTTTAAGGCGCTTCCATCATGTTTTGGCCTCTTGAGCACGCACTCATGATTACTCATCAACTCGTGTACCGACAATCCTCTTGCTTAAATCAAAAGTGTCATTTACATACACCGCAACAATCTGAAGGCGTTACAACAAATGATGAATGATGAATGAAAAGGTGAGGGAATTGAGTGAAAATGGGAGGCTCATCAAATGTTTTAAGAAGCATTATAAGCTTTCAGAGACCCATATACCTCCTCTGAACTTCCAAATGTCCAATATTTCTGTGATCTTAGCACAGGGAGAGTTCAAATGATTCAGGTTTAAACTCTGCATAACATGCTACAGGGCTAGTGCCCTGTAAATGCAGAAAAGGTATGCCTGTCCAGACCCCAAAACAAATGATACGCACACAGACATATATCAGTGAAGTGCACTCATACGCATGCACACTGGTGCAGGCAGAGGAAGCAGTAAAATGTGCGTTGCTCAGCGGTTGCTGCTGCCTTTGGCCTGCAGACATGGAGAGGTTGAAATTCAATCAGTCACACTCTGGCAGGAACCGCATGTGCGTGTGTGTGTGTGGGTGTATATGTGTGTGTGCGTGTGTGTGCGTGCGTGTGTATGTGTGGGTGTGCATTTTAAAACGTGTGATGCTATGCAAAGCTCTGCATGAGTGTGTACTGTATCCAGAAGCTTCTCACCTGCAAGTAGTGTACGCTTCTGGGTTTGGCAGTGTGTGTGTGCGTGTGCGTTTGAGAGAATGCATTTATTTATTTGAGTACATGCATGTTTTGCATAGATTTTATGTACTTTCTATAAGCAGGCTGTTAGTTTTGTTAAATAGTAACTGAGGCAATTTGACTTTTTTTAAGCCTAGTTTAAAAAAGGTATGATGTCCAATACTATTTAAAGCTCACATATTATGCAAAATGTACCTTTGCCATGTTTTTGTAGCACTAATGTGTCCCTACCTTGTCTACAAACCCCTCAATTATGAGAAAAGCCCATCCTCTGTGTCTTTTGTATTCTCCACTTTTCAGAAAATGTGTGCTCAAACAGGCTGGAGTTTTTCCCTTCATGACATCAGAAAGGGCAGTAACCCCTCCCACAGGTTGGTAACACTCCCACATCTAGGTGTTTGTTCTGTCTTCTGAGTCTGTGTTCTCACTGCAAACAATCAGATATAGTGCAAGAAAGTCCAAGCTACCCAAGCCATTCCAGAGAGGGGGCGTGATCAGAAACAGCTCATTTACATTTAAAGCTACAGCCTGTTCTGAGCAGGGCTGAAATAGAGGGGTTTATAGACATGATCAAATACAGGATCAGAGTGGATTTATAACAAGAAACTTCACATACATGTGACGGCCCTGGCCATGGTGTATGGCCTGGTACTGCTTGTGTTTTGCGTTTCAGGGGTTTGGCGTCATCTGGTGGTTGGCGGTGGCATGCCTGCTGGTCATGGGGAGACTCGCCCGCCTACCTGCTGATTGCGGATGGGCTTCACCTGGGTGGAAGGGCATACAAGCCGGGCTGCCAGAGTTTTCAGGGGGTTCCTCGGGACAGATTGGACTTATCTCCCTCCACTCTTACATTTTTTTGGTGGTTCTGAAATAAACTAAAACCTAAGCAAGTTGACTGTGTGGACCTCCATTTTGAATGTTAGGGCCTACACGAGCTGGCCGTAACAAATGGAGGCTCGTCCAAAGGAAAAAAAACAAATCTGTAAGTTGATTGTTTGATTGTTTTTGTACTGATTTAGAAAAAAGTTGGTTGGAGGGCGCATAGTAGCTTGCTGTTTGGTTTATGTAAATGGTAGCTTTCTTTGAACTTAAGTAGTGGGATTGTATATTCACTAGTTTTGTGTTTGTGGTGTCATTAAACTGGTTGCCATTGGAGGTTGATGTGTGTGCTCATACAGTGTGTGGTTGTAGAAGGGTTGTGGCTGAAAACTACTGGAGCTTGTATTTCTTCCCCTCAGTAGGCTGTAGCAGCAGTTCTTACAAGGAGGCTGTTGAGTTTGTTTTTTTCAGGTTTTTTTATTTTTGTATGTTGTCCGTGTGGCGTAAAGCAGTTGTCTTGGGGGTGCCATCCGTAGCATTGGATGAAGACAATTAGCCTTCTCCTTTGCAAGCGGGCTCTTGGCGCGTAAGTACCCACCGCCAGTACACATATGAAGATTGCAGGGTTGAGTTACTAAGATTTTGGATAGGCAGTTCAGGAGGGGAAGGGGGGCTCCTTTTCTTTATCAGCCCTCTCTATGGTTGTGCACTGTGTGTCGCACCGGATTTGTTTTTCTTCAAGTGGTGACAGTTTTTGATGGTAAGGAGTTTATTTTCGTTTACAGTATGTTAACTGAACATAAAAACTCTTTTGGTTGCCGAGTTTTTGCAACGTGCTTGTCGTAAAACATTGTCTCAATTTTCCAAGGCAGATTTGGGTGATTTAGGTGTGTATTTGGGTTGGAAAAAACCAGAGCAAATCCCTAAAAAGGCTGAGTTGAGGGTCATGGTTGAAGAGTTTCAGTAGGTCTTTTGGAACCTGAGCAGAGTAAGGGTTCTGAGATGAAGATTCCAGGAGTTATTGAGAAGTTGTCTTTTGAACAGTATATGCAGTTAGAAAGGGAAAAGGCTAACTGGGAAAGGGAAAAGTTGCAGTTTCAGTTGGAGCATGAAAAGCTGAGAGTGGAGCAGGCACAGAAAGATAGGGAGGCAGAGGTGAAGGTGGCTTTGGAAAGGGAAAGGTTAAAACTTCAACTGTTAAAGCTGGAGTTGGTAAGAGAGGGGAAAGCTAGTGAAGCTCTCCTGGGCTCTGGTTTGTCAGGGCAGGCTGTTGTTGGCTATGCTGGATTTGATGTTGCGGGTAATCTGCGCCTGTTACCCAAGTTCAATGAGAAGGATCCGGACACATTCTTTTCTTTGTTTGAGCGTGTTGCAAATGCAAGGAGTTGGCCTGATGCTGACAGAACCCTAATGCTGCAGTGTGTATTCACGGGTAAGGCTCAGGAAGCATATTCTGCCTTTAGTCCTGGTGATTGCATTGATTATGCTAAGGTGACGGCTGCGGTTTTGAAAGCATATGAGTTGGTTCCTGAGGCATATAGGCAAAGATTTAGAAGCTGGAGGAAAGGTGATATACAGACTCACGTAGAGTTTGCACGGGATATTTCAGCTCACTTTGCACGCTGGTATTCTGCCTCGGCGGTAGATCATTATGATGATTTGTGTAACCTTATGGTATTGGAACAATTTAAGGACTCTGTTCCACACCACATTGCTGTACACATCAATGAGCGTAAGGTTAAGACAGCTTCGGCAGCTGCAGTGTTGGCAGATGAGTATGTGTTGACTCATGCGGGTGGCTCAGAATGGCGCTGGGGCGTATAGGGCAATGTGAAGTTTAGTCCAGGGAAGTTTGTTGGGGCTACTCTGGGTTCTCAGGCCAGTTTCAGAAGTGTATCAGGTATGGATGGTAGATTTGATCCAGGTAAAGTGTGCCATTGATGTAAAAATAAGGGTCATTGGAAAGGGGAGTGTCCAATTTCCATGTCGGAACAAAAGTCAACCTATCCAAGTGTGTATATGAAATCTGCTGGTCTGGTGGCTTCACTGTCGTCAGTGCAGAGTCAAATGGTGCAAGGAACATCTCCTGAACTATCATCAAAGGGGGTTGATGAAATGTATGCCCCTTTCATGTCACATGGGTTTGTGTCTCTGAATGATGGTGAGATGAAACCTGTAAGTATTTCGAGGGATTTGGGGGCGTCCCAGAGTTTCATTTTGGAACGCGTGTTGCCATTTTCTTCTGCTACAGACACTAGGGAGACGACTCCCGTTCGGGGAATTTCTTTGGTTCCTTTGTTTGTGTCATTGCATCGTCTTAGCCTGTGTTCAGATCTGGTAAAAGGGGAAGTGGTCATGGGGGTGCGGAACTCATTGCCATTGAAGGGTGTGGATGTTATATTGGGTAATGACTTGGCGGGGGCAAGAGTGTGGAAAGATGATCCACCTTTTCTTGGGGTAACAGCATCACTCGAGTGCTCTCAAGGTCCGGATGAGTGTGCTAAACAACATCCAATGGTTTTTCCTGTTTGTGATGTGACTCGGGCAATCAACTTGTCCAAATGTGAGGTTGCTAAAGCTAGGGTAACTTACCTTGGTAAGGTTGCTGGCCAAAGGGAAGTACTCCCTGTAAGAAGTTCAGGCTATTGATGTGTACCCTGTGCCAACAACGAAGAAAGAGTTGTGGAGGTTTTTGGCTATATTGGGGTATTATCGGGGGTTTTGCCCAAATTTTGCAACTGTGGTGGCCCCATTGACAGACCTTTTGAGTAAGAGGACAGTTTTTGTGTGGTCTCCCAAATGTGAGGATGCTTTTGTTACGGTGAAATCCTTGCTCTGTTGTTCTCCTGTGCTTGCAGCGGCAAACTTGGAGAAGCCCTTTAAACTTCAGGTGGACGCAAGTGGAGTTGGTGCAGGAGCTGTACTGTTGCAAGAAGGGAAGGGGGCTATTGATCATCCAGTCTGCTTATATTGGGGTATTATCGGGGGTTTTGCCCAAATTTTGCAACTGTGGTGGCCCCATTGACAGACCTTTTGAGTAAGAGGACAGTTTTTGTGTGGTCTCCCAAATGTGAGGATGCTTTTGTTACGGTGAAATCCTTGCTCTGTTGTTCTCCTGTGCTTGCAGCGGCAAACTTGGAGAAGCCCTTTAAACTTCAGGTGGACGCAAGTGGAGTTGGTGCAGGAGCTGTACTGTTGCAAGAAGGGAAGGGGGCTATTGATCATCCAGTCTGCTTCTTCTCCCGTAAGTTCAAACGTCATCAGTTCAATTATTCAGTTGTGGAGAAGGAGACATTGGCACTTATTTGGGCTCTACAATTTTTTTTGAAGTGTATGTAACTTCGGGGTCTGCACCAGTTACTGTATTCACTGACCATAACCCTCTGACCTTTCTGTCCAGCATGCAAAACAGCAATCCAAGGTTGAGGCGCTGGTTGTTGTTTTTACAGTCCTACAACTTTAATATCTGTCACCTCAAGCGTAGGGATAACGTAATGGCAGATGCGCTTTCTCGGGCAGTAGTGTAATGTGTACGTACACCGAAGTGTACGTTTTTTATGGGGGGAGGTGTGACGGCCATGGTGTTTGGCCTGGTACTGCTTGTGTTTTGCATTTCAGGGTTTGGCGTCATCTGGTGGTTGGCGGTGGCATGCCTGCTGGTCGTGGGGAGACTCGCCCGCCTACCTGCTGATTGCGGACGGGCTTCACCTGGGTGGAAGGGCATACAAGCCGGGCTGCTAGAGTTTTCAGGGGGTTTCTCGGGACAGATTGGACTTATCTCCCTCCACTCTTGCATTTTTTTTGGTGGTTCTGAAATAAACTAAAACCTAAGCAAGTTGACTGTGTGGACCTCCATTTTGAATGTTAGGGCCTACACGAGCTGGCCATAACATACATGTTTTGGGGAGCTCTGAGACTTATTTAGATTTGTTGAAAAGGAGGATAATATGTGACCTTTAAATATTTAAGATGCAACTTATGTTTATTCTCCTTCAATTAAAAAGGTGCCTTGTACTGCATGTATGTATGTTCTGAGATTTTCGGGTTACCAAAGTAAATACAAATCTTCAAAATGAATCATTATTTGTCATGTCAGATCTCTTTTAATACTACTATAAACCAAGAGTAATTGCTAACTGGGGTATTATCTTCTAAAAATAATTTCCTAACTACTTTATACATTTTGTAGTTTCAGTTGATTGAATTTGAGCAAACTTGGAAAGCTCTTGTACTTTTTTTTGGAGCACTAATTCATCACAGAGATCAATATGTCTGATTTACATTTGTACAGAAGTAATAGTCAGTGTTTCTTTTGCCTCGTTTCCTGCATACAAGCAGGTACAAACCTCATTAATCTCTTTTTAATATCATATAACAGAAAAATCTATCCAAACTACATGAACAAGACAAAGGAACCACTGAACATGCTTGATTATAATGTGCAATCTATACCTGGTACATAAAAAATAAATATCTAAGTGTAGGGGCACCGAGAAGTTGGGGTGTGAATCTTAACCATGACTTGAGTATTTGCAAATTATTGGGGTCATTTTTAGATTCAAAATCACTTTTTTTTTCGATTCACAATACACTCATCATGGGTACACCTTACTAGTACCGGGTTGGACCCCCTTTTGCCTTCAGAACTGCCTTTATTCTTCGTGGCATAGGTTCAACAAGGTGCTGGAGACATTCCTCAGAGATTTTGGTCCATATTGAGATGATAGCTTCACACAGTTGCTGCAGATTTGTCGGCTGCATAGCCATGAGATGAATCTCCACCACATTCCAAAGGTTGAGATCTGGTGATCGTGGACGCCATTTGAGTACAGGGATCTGACAGTTGTTGCTGACAAGAATACAAGAGATAAATAATAGCAAAATATTAATTTAAAGATTGGCATGAAATAAAAAATACATCATTTTATTTAGTGGTCAATACACTGAATACTTCTATCAGGAGTGAATCACTTTATGCAACATTTAATATTTCCCGTTTAAGTGATCAGGGCTTAAAAACAGGCTTTGTGTGTGTGTGGGGGTGTGTGAGTGTGTGTTTCCAGGGAGAGTTCTACCTCAGGCTGTCGGAGTGAGTTTCTGTCTTCAAACAAAGGTTAGTTCTCACAGGACAAGCCCACTTTCGAAATGGCCTTTACACACACAAACAAACATACACACACGTTCACATTCACACACACAAATCCACCAATACACAATTATACCTTCACAGATAAAGCCCCTGCCTGTGACTGATAATACCATCGTTAAAATGATTGAAGATGGATTTATATGGCATTTAAAGTACTTATACAAAATGAAGTATTTCAGAGTGTGGCCATTTTATTTTATTTTTATGATTAGTTAAAAATTTTTTGGGTTCAAATGAATAATTCTCGTCAATATTTGAATGGCCTTTTAGGAGTGTTTCAGCCCGTAGCCGCAATATAGTCTACAATGGCTGCAGCATCATCTCTGAAAAGCAGACGACCCCAATCAATTTACATCCAACAAAAGTGTTTGTTTATGAAACTGGGAGGCTCAGTGTTATTAAACCAAAAGTACTATGGGAGGTAGACCCTTCAGTTGTCAAGCCCCACTCCATGGAATCATCCACCAGTCAGACACCCTCTCTACCTTTAAGAGTGGGCTTTAAACTTTCCTTTTGATAAAGCTCATAGTTAGTTATTGACCGTAATATAAAACATATGTGAAGCACAAGGCTGTGCTCTTCAAACAAGGCCACTGAGTAACCATTTCTCTTTTATGAGCAATACCAAATCTGACCTCAAACTGCAAATCAGACAAATACAGACTTTCTCCCGACCTGAGGCTCTGTTAGAAATGTGAGCCACTGCTGATTTCATGAGTGTTTGAACAATCAGATGGTAATCCCTCTGTCTCCTGCGCACCACACAAAACAAGAAGAGTCAAATACATTAAATAATGTGTAGATTATTCTTTGTGTAGCATCGGAATAGAAATGTGGAGTCCATAATACATTTTTCATGGCAATTTATTTGAGTTTGACTCATTTTTTACATATAACATTGACAGTTCAACTCACGGTTGATGTTTTATGTGTTATGATAAAGATTGAATTAATCATTTTAGGCTGCAACGAGGAAAAGCCTGAGAACTTCATGTACCTGTGAGTTAGTATGTTCTTCTGCCTATTATTCTGTGTGTATGCGGTCATGTACTGCTGGTATCATTAGTATGTGTATCAGCTTCATACCCACTCATGTTCTGTGCTGTGCATGCTCTTTGAAATACACACCTTCCCGACTAGTTTAGCCTTGGGAAGACAAATAGCTCCCCTGCCCTTTGCTTCGATGCTCAGTGTTCTTGAGGGCACGTTGGCTAATTGGCTAACACCATTAATGCTACTAATTACCATTTGCCTTTTCCACAGACACACACACACACACACAAATACGTACACACACACATTTGCATGTGATGACATGTTTGTATGCTAACCTGCTCACAGGCTTCATTTAGCACACATGCCATTACATTTACATTTGCCACCCACACATCCTCAAAGAGCGCCAACACACACACATACACACACATGCACGCACACACACACACACACACATAAACACAATACATGCATTGCCTAACTGTCAATAATGAGCCACAGTATAATTACTTGAAACAAGTCAAGCATGTCACCTTTGTTATTACGCCCCGGTCATCAATATGGACTGCGGCAAAGGACAGTGTGTGTGTGCTTGTGTGTGTTGATGTATGTGAGAAAAGGAAGAGTGAAACACAGATGAGTAGAGAGGCGAAGAGGAAGGGAGAAGGGCTGTTGAGGCAATTGATTGGCAACATGATTAAATGGTTCCAACAATTGTAACTACTAGACTCACTGCTAAGGACTGCTAGTGACCCTTCCAGGTTGCGGTGCTCATTACAGCCATAAATACTAGTTGGTTTTTTGGATGAACTAAGAGTGCTAGATATTTTCTACAAGTAAAATCTAGCCCATAGTGGCTCAGGTGGCACCAATTAAAGACAAATTTGCACAAACTTGAAACATCTTAAAGGTCACATTTTATGCAAAATACACTTAACTATGTTTTTCTAACACTTATATTTGTACCCAGTCTGTCTACAAAACCATCAAATCATGAGAAAAGTCCAACACGCCGTCTTTTGACTGCTACTCTTTTAAGAAAATGTGTGCTCTAACGGGCCGTTTGGAGATTTTCCCTTTGTGACATCACAAAGGGCAGTAACCCCTCCCCCAGGTGGGTGACACAGCAAGGTGTTTCTTCTCCCCTCTGAGTCTGCCTTCTCACCGTGGACAACTAGGAACCGAAGCCCTTCCAGAGAGGGGCGTGGTCAGACACAGCTCATTTGCATTTAAAGCTACAGACACAGAAACAGCCTGTTCTGAGCAGGGCTGAAATAGAGGGGTTTATAGGCATGATCAAATACAGGATCAGAGTGGATTTATAACAATAAACTTAAAAGACATGTTTTGAGTACCTCTGAGACTTATTTAAACTGGTTGTAAGGAGGATAATACTGTATGTGACCTTTAAGCAGGGCACACAAGACAAGATAAACGAGCTTTTGGGCATGTTTTACCCCCTAAAATCTTAAGCAGAGTCTTGATTTTTTAATGGTTCTAAAAGTTATCTTGATTAATTTCCCTGTAGCCCCCCGGCAGCGGTATCTACAGACTGTGCCTTTACCAAAAAAAAAATCCCCAAAAAACTATTATAACTCACTTCAGCTCTTTATGGTGAGTTGAGGTGGGAGATTTCTGGTTGATACTGTCTGCAGTGGTTTCACATGATATCAGAGCAACGGCTTCACAACTAAGAGCTAAAAACAAAGTTTATAAGAGGGAATACCCATGACTGTTTCCTGTTCCGTGAAAAGAAAGTTCAATCAGAACCGCTCCAGTCTGACTACCTCAGAATACTTCAGACAATCCAGTTATTTCAAGATAACCTCTCAATTTGTCTTCAAGTCCACGTGTTCATTTGTGTTCTGAATGACTTCCCTGAATGCTGCGGTGAAGACATTGTTTCTTCTCGGCTTCAGCCTAGCACAAATGTATTCAAATAAGCAATGGGAGGCAGTCGTGTTAAAAAATAGAAATAATGATAATAAAAACGTGTGCAAGAGAAAGAATAAAACCTACATCTCCCTGTCATCTATAGAGCTGGCTAAATACTGAATAAAGTACAAGTAAAGGCACAATTTCAAGGGGTTGTCTTCTGCCCCCATCATAAATAAATCAAATTATAGCACAACCAGGATAACTAGCTAATTAAGTAAAGCCCTTAGTCAGAAACCCTTAGGTTGTTTTTGATCAGAACTTGTGTTTCGAGCCTCAAGTGAAGAAGGTTGTACAGTGTGTTGTTTTTATCAGCTCAGAAATATAGCCAAGGACAAATCACTCATGTCACCAAAAGATCTGAAGAAACTCATCTACCCTCTTATTTCCTCCCGCCTTGATTACTGTCATTCACTATACTCCTGTCTCCGTCAAAAATCAATCTACCGCCTTCAAACAATCCAAAACGCAGACACTCTGCTTTTAAGCTATCAAACAAATGTGCCCTTATCACCCTGATTTCAGCATCCCTTCACTGGCTACCTGTTGATTTTAGAATTGATTTTAAGATTATTTTAATTACTTTTAAGGCACAACATGGGTTGGCCCCTGATCCCTTATGAACCAGGACACAGTCTGAGACCCTCTGGTAGAGCTCTGCCGGCTGTTCAGAGGTCCAAGCTGAAAGCTAAAGGGTACAGGTCTTCTTTCTGTCAGAGACTTCAGAACTGCCAGAGGAGATCAAACCTGCAGAGTCAGTCTCTTGTTTCATTTCTCTACTAAAGACACTCTTTTACAAAAAGCTTTTACCCTGTGATTTCATTTTATTATCTAACTTTTATTCTATTAGTCTGTTCTTATTGTCTGGTTGTTTTACCTCCTGTTTGCTTTTATTGTCTGTTTTAAAGCATTGTGTTACCTATATTGAAAAGTGCCATACTAATAAACTATTATTATGATTATAACGTTGGCATAATGGTGGTTGTTCTCTGCATTG